TTTTTGCTTTTAAACTAATAAAATGAAATCATAATTCTTAAAAATAATCTACAATATTATATTACTTATATCAGAATTCAGTGGCAGATCTAGGATTTAATTTTGAGGGGGATCTTTTTTTGTACTCTGGAAGAAAAAAAAAGAAAAAGTTTTAAAGCCTGCATTTCGACACCATTTATACCAACAGTTATACCGTTATTAATTTAAATTTATGTAATAAACCCGATTTCGTATATAAAATTAAATATGCGGCTATGCAAGAGGTTAACTGATTATTTATTTAAAATAATAATATGTAATCATAATAACAAATCTAGATATGTAAAAATCGCTTAAATTAATAAATAAATAGGGTTAATAAATATTTTTTTAAAATGTAGAAGAGGTTTTCAATGTTTGACTATTTTTTAAATTATGTTTCTTTAACTACTTATATTGGACGTAAAAGTTTCAATATTAAATTATACAGACTAGTGATAGAAGAAATATTTTTTTCCGAATATTAAATTATTATTATTATATAGCAATTTATTGGAAATTATATAACGTCACATTTTTATTAATTAAGTTTTAGTTGGTAAAGCTGTAAAAATAATGTCGATAAAAACTATCTACTACTTTGAGTATTGTAAACGTAAATAGTGTAAATGAGTATGAGTAGATATAAATAGAGAAAGACAAAACAGTTCAGTTTTTTTTATTTTTTTGTTAGTAGCTATTGACGAGCTTTAGTTTTATCAATAAAAACATGTTGGAAACAATAGATAAAAATCTAAATATTAATTCTTCCAAAACTGCTAATATCCTTAATTGAAACACCGATTGCTTGGAAATTTTGATACAACGTTGCAATCAAATTTAGGAATGTTTTTAAAAACATTTCGATCTTCCATTTCAAAATGGCGTCTCCAAAAAACGTGTGCCGCTATAAACTACACCGCCAAAATGGCTGTAACGATTTCAATGAGACTTGGACTGATGTCTTCTCCTTGAAGCTCTTTTAATATATTTATACAACATACTGCCCCATTGATGAAAAAAAGTAACGTTAGATTCAAAATTTTATTTTTGGGTAACTCATAAAGTACACAAATGGTACAAAACTGTTTTATATTGTAAGTACATATGAAAGTGTATGAGTGAATGTGAATAAGTAGAAATAAAAATTTTGGAAACATTCGAATTCATATAAGTTTTATTAAAAATTTCCAATAAAGATTATGGTCGAATTTCGAACATTATATTCTTAATATTAGTTTTTGAAAATGTTAATAAACCTTAAGAATATGTATAGACAATTATAATTGCAAGGATTGATATATCATTGATTGTTGACCACATCCCTTGATTAATTTTCCCTTGGATTAGAACTATGATTAATTATTGCAATTACAATCAAGAAGAGTTTTAATCGGTCGACTAGCAAATGAAGGAGCTACTGCACATCAATCAAACATATTGCACTCGAACTCTTCATCTCTATAAATAAAGCAACTGTATGACAATGGTTGAATGATGCCCATCCACGTTATAATTCTGAATATGACTATTATAAAATGAGCAGAGAATGAAAAATTAGAGGAGTTAAATGCAAAAGTATATTGGTTATACCAATTATTAACGTATAGTAACTAAGATTGTCAAGTATTAGTTACTATTTTGCCTTAATTTTTATTTAAAAAATCGATTTTTTTAACAGTCCTGGTCTTGGTCTTGCAACAGTCAGGCCTTGTCAACACTGGTGATTTTGGGCAACACTATTATCGACTATCGATCTCGATCTTCGACATTTTAATTAAAAAATAAAAATTAAAAAAGAAAACTATCGATTTCGGAAGACGCTAAGAATTAAATATGAATCTAATAGTGATAAAAAATATATATTCATCTTGCCTGTTTCATATAAAATAGTTAGTATAAGCGTAGTAGAGGAAAATATCGATATTTCGTTAATATCGACTATCAGTCCATCCTTAAGTAGAGTTGAATAAAGCGCATGGGACCCATCTCTTTCAGTATCACTAGCGGATCCAGAATTTAATTTGGGGGGGGGGGCTTCAGCCCGGAAGATTTTTTTTTTCATATACATATAAAAATAATTAATTAGAAAAAAGAAAGAAATTAACAACCTATATGAAATGGTGTTTAAATGGTTCTTTAAGTTCTATTAAATGTAATTACATGAATAACAATACTTTAAGAGATAGTTCTTAATTTTTTCTTCTGTAAAACATGGTTATATTTTACCATTTTGGGAAGAGGGGGGGCTTCAGCCTGAAAGCCCCTCCGTAGATCCGCCTATGCTCAGTATAATCAATTTGTTAGTTAGAACCTTCTCAAACCAAGGAAAAAAATTGTTAAAGAAACCTATATAGGAGGCAAAAAAATTAGCGTTTAGCTGAATCCGATCTATGGCTGAAAGGAAGCTATATTTGGTTGAATGGAAATTTCTGGAAAGAATCTGAGGAAATAGTAAGTAGGGTAGAAGAATTGATATTTCCATTAATTAAAGAGGGAAATGACATCTTTTTAGATGTGCTTATGAGCTAGAGAATCAATATTTATATTTATATTCATATTTCAAGAAATTTTGACTATAGTTATTTTAAATTCGATATTATGATGGTATCATGGTATTTTTTTTTCCATCTCTTCCTTGCATTATAAGCTATACGGGGGTTTTCCCGGGCCAGGGTGATGACGGGGGATTAATATTAGAGTGTAAAGTCGCTCTGACTCGTACTTATTTTATCAAATTATATCTTTTCTATACACGCGTTATCCTGCTCGGCTACCCCACTCCATTAAAATCTCGATTTTTAAAACTGCTTTCGATTAAATAGCTTTCAATGTGACTACTACTACAGTTGGTAATACCGCCATGTAATGTTCGTTAGAACTCATTAGAGAACCCAAGCGTGAGTTCATTTACAGTTTCGGTCATTATGCATTAAAACCGCAATGGCTATCGTTCAAGGACTGGTGACGCCATCTATGCAAAACCCCGATGGCTCAGCATTTCTTGCGACATTTAATATAAAAGCCTTTAAACAAACGCAGAAAATATGTATATGTATAGATGTTATTCTAGAATCTACTTCCAGATCAATAAGTATTCTAAAAGTACATTTAAACATTTCACAAACTCTAGAAAACACGAATGCCTAAATTGATTGTTTCTCTAGGCTTTTTGTTTCTTTCTTGTTTGTGAACGACCGTTTTTTATGTATCAATTCAGTGATGATTCATTCATTAGAAAGAACTACTTTTTATTCAAGATTTAAAAAATAAAAAAAGTGTGGCCCAGGTCTCTGCCTCTGACTTACTGATAAGATGATAGCGTTTGATAATATCCTTTCATTCCATGAAGAAAGTAAAGATCGTTGCAGAGAGATATAATAGCTCTCTAAAGCAAGTTATGACTCACCAGTGATGTAACAGATCAAATTAAATATTGTAAAGAGCAAAACACATATTTCAGGTGATTCATTCAACTGAGTTACCAATCTCTATTTCCTAATCTCTAATCACTCACTCATTAAAAAGAGTAAAAAAACTAATATGTAGTTTCTGAGTTAATTTTCTGTAGGAGCTCTGTAAGTAGGAACATGGATCTTTGTCATTTTTAATTAAAATATAACCTTATGGAGGAATTATTTTAATGAAATATTATACAACCCTGCATGAAGAATGCCATGGAATTTTCATTTAGGGTTAAGACACCAATAGCTGACAGCCTCCTCGAAAAATGGGAATAATAAACTTTCAGGACCTCCTAGATCTCTAATTCATATATTTTGAGTTTCTATATTTTCCTCCTGTATATTTGTCTGCTTTACTTTAGTCTTGTCGGAAATCGCAACCGAAATAATTAATAGCAAATTAGGAAGGTCCCTTGTGGTCCACTCTGTGTCCCTGGAACAACCATCTGTTAGTAAGAGCACCATACCTTAGCTTTGTCTTTTTCTATTTAATTAATCAGATTTATTCCAAAATTTTTGTTTGATTGTTTTTTGGATTGTTTTTAAATTATGTTTTATCTGTTTTTAAATAATCTTGATGGAGGAATTGGATATTTATTGGGTGTCAGCTATTGGAGCCTTATAATGAGGACTTTTGCCAGTAGTTGACAGGCCTGTACTCTCATAAATTCAAAGAGATATACTCAATATAACGAGTCTTGAAAATTTGGTAGAGTTTTAAAAATTAAAAAGATAACAAAATTGCTAATGATTTGGATTAAATATGAAGCAAAAATAAGTTTTCCTATTGCCAAAAACAGGTTCTTGACAGCGACCAGCATTTATTGATAAATTTAAGTCAGGAAATGTAAGAAGTTAGATATATAATAACTTGAAGGTAATTTTTTCTAATCTTAAAATGAAGAATATGGAATTCTCCTAGTGTATGCTACTGGCACAACAAAATTATTCTCTTATTTTTTATTTTTTAATTTAGATAAATTTTTCATGGATTTGAAATATGTTTGGTTAGGCAAGAAATAGTTCTCTAAGATGAATCCATGAAAAATATAATAACATCAATATTTAATTATCTTCTTATTTTTATTTTGATTGAGATGTTGATTAGTGTATCAATGAATATGTGTAACACCAAATAATGTTTAAAAAATGTGACAAATAATTAATTTTTGACAAATGGTGGCACATCAAAAAAAAAAAAAAATGTAAAAATGAAAATATTGCTCTGATGATCGGAAAATTTCCCCGAAACGTAAGAGACAACAAGCATAAATAAAAAAATATGAAGAAAATTGGAAGTTTTATTGCCTAAAATATGAAAAAAATCAATATTTAAGTTTTTACACGTCAAAGTTCAATAAAATTTTCTTAAGCATGTCTGCTACTGGTGCATTAATCATACAGGTACTTATTAATAAAGGCCACCATTTTGTATGGGTTTTTACCATAGATCTGAGGATCAACCAAATCTATAAATATTAATGATATCTTGTCTTGTTAAATAATAATAAATCTTACCTCTTGAGATACCAAGGACTGCGCAGGTACTGTGGACTTCGGATTTCAGCTGCTCCATCGCCAGCGACAACATTGGTTCTATTTCTTCTTGCGGAAGGTCCATCCCGACTTCTTCTTCCATCGCGAATCCCGTCCCTAGCTCTCCGACGGGGACCGGGATGAGGTTGTACTTTCGTTGAAAGGAGGTGTCCTTGAGGACTTGCCTCAGGAGTTTGTGATCCTCTTCCTCCTCCCAGGGCTCTTCCTTGACCGGCGGGGAGGCGGGGAGGAGGGACAGGTCGAAGGAGTCAGCCGCGAAGACGGCGCTGTAGTCCGGGGGGCTGCCCCCAGGTACCAGCTGCGGCATCTGAAACAGCAGGAAAAGGAAATATTGAAAAACTCCATTCGTAAAAGAAATTATTAATTTACTTATTTATGATATACATCATATCCATTTTATCTTGTTTTGTTAAAAACACTTTTTTTTTTTTGTTTAATTGTTTTTATTCACACCTGTCATAGTGGTAATGACAACCAGTGAATGGAAAAAATAATGTCATGAAAGGCATTACGGTGATCAATGCCCAGCGGCACCTCACTCGGCGTGATATCTACATTAGGCGAGGAGGTCCCTCATCCAGCTCCTCTTCAGACTCCTACAGACGTTACCTGGCATATTCGTAGTGGCCGTGTCATATATGAGTGTATTAGGATGTCATTGTAAGTTGTCATGGAACCGTTTGTAATGAATTCGTTAACAGTCGGCATATGGAGGTCAGTATGTAAGGTTATGTTGCTAACGTACCAAGGTGCTTTTGTAATTGTTCTGAATGTTTTTGCTTGAAAGATTTGAAGTTTGTTTAAGTGAGTCTTTTTAGCAGTTCCAAATATCTGTGATGCGAAAGTCCAAATAGGTTTTATTAAGTAATTGTATGTGTTAAATTTCTAAGTTTTAGTTTTGAATTGTTCGAAAGAAGTGAACTCAGAATTCTTAACCTTTGATTTAGCGTTTTTTGTTTCTTGATTATATGTGGGCCCCACGTCATTTTTCTGTCAAATGTCAGACCAAGGTAGTGAACGGTGTCTGTCTGTGGAATCTGTGTATTGTCAAGGAAAACTGGAGGGCATGTTTCATGTCGAAGCGTAAATGTGATGTGCTGTGATTTGTCTTGGTTTAGTCGGATTTTCCAAATTAAAAAATTCTCTGCAAATATGTAAATACCATGAAATAACCTGCTGAAAGTTTCGCATATACCTTACCACCTTCCACGAGATATAGGAGGCAAGGTGATATCCCTTAATAGGTGATTGAAGAGATTTAGCCAGACAAAGAATTTTATGCCGGGGCGTCAAAAGCACATGGATTTTTTGAATATTTGAAAGAGGAATATTTTAAAAGATTTATGAATTTTTGTGGAAAATTATATTTTTATGAAGCTTGAATTTGATGGAAATTTCAACACAAGGAACTAGTTAGAAATATAGACCAAGAATAAACGGCAACACATTTGCTTGATGCATTACAATACAGTGACAAATTTAATGTAAAAGAAATAAATAAAAAAATGTTGTTTTTTTTTTTTCGGTACACCATATCTCCTTCAATTTTTCATGAAATCCAATGATTGACCACTCATTTTAAAGATCTTCACGTACGAAAAATAGTCATAGTAAAAAGTTATGAAGAAAAAACAACTATATTTGCGAATAACTCAAAATGTATACATGTTTTTCTGAATTGTACCCATGATTATTAGAATGATAACTAAGTTCCCTACAAACAAAAGAATAATCATAAACGTTGGACAATTATTAACAAAGATACAGCCCATTAGATTTGGTATACTTAATAATTTCTTCTTCTTTGAAAATACTGCATTTACTATTCTACTACCTTTTTTTTCTGGTTGATATAAACTTTTTTATAAAAGCATTTTTGGTGATACATTTTATATTTTTTAATAATTTATAAAATCCTATGATCGAGACTTTTTTTTTATTATTACCTTTCTTGTCAGCGTTTAAAAATAGACCCTAGAAAGGCAATTTGTACAAATATTTTGATCTATTATGTTAAATGGAATATTGTAATCGACCAAGAAAAAACAATTAATTCCTCCTTCAAATAAAAGATAGGGTCTACTTATATTATTTTGCTATTCCTTCACTAAACAAGATATTCTGCGAATTAATCGCACAGGCCAACTAGTAATAAATGCAATTAAGTATAAACAGAAATAAATATTGAAATAAAAATACAATAATAACTATAATAACTTTGGCAGTGACTAATCCATTTCACATAACCTCCTTGTTCACACCAGCTGATCATGTTTAAACTTGCTCAATACAAGACATTTTAGATTCAACCCGTTGTATTCAATGTTTCCATTCGTACGACAATTCTTGTATTTCCGTGATTAGATCCTATCAGTTGTCTGATAATTCTTAATTTCAATTTGTTGTATTCCTGTTTAATCTGTATATATGACATCGGATAGATCCAGTTGATCTTAACGATTGAATAAGTGTAAAACGAATGAAATGTTAACGTCTTTTACTATTTATTCAAACATGACAGAATAAATATGAAATTTAAAACAATTTATGTGAACGCATATAGTACGAGACTTTAGCAACCTTTAAATATTTAAACGTGAAAAAATGTGAAGCGATGCCTTTAATATCATCACGATGTTGAGCTTAATTTATAAGGCCATGCATTTTCTAAAACACATCTAGGCGTTTAATTCCAAACGGGGCAGTCCTGGATTTATGGCAGATTATATTGCTGCATCTCTCATTGCCTGAAATAAATTTAGAGGAAGAGGATTTATATAAAGGATATAATTCGCGAAAGTCCTTTTTAGGAAAGATCTTATCAAAAAAACGCTCTCCTTTCCTAAGGTCATATAAAATACGACAAAAGGCGTGAAATATCAATGGGTCTGGTGTAATATACATTGCCCTAATATATTTTTCAGTATAATATATTTATTTATTTTATGTTGAGTTGTATAAATCAATTAACCACTTAATCATTTTTATATTTGGTATTCAAATATTCTAGATTGAAACGACAAGAAAGCTCTAGACGTCTCCGATTACTTCAGCACTTACTAGACAAACGCTCTAAACTTGCAATTAATTACAAAAGAATCATATACTTGATTATAATAAGGCCTATTTGGACTAACGGAGTTGAGCTTTGGGGCTCCACTAAACCATCGAATTCCTCTCGTATCCAATCCTTAAAATCCAAAATCCTCAATGCTCCCTACTTTGTTACAAATAAAACCATCCATAATGACCTTAATGTTTCTTTTGTTTCAGATCTGGCCCAATCCAGATACCTATCCTTCCATAATAAACTTTAGAACCAGCCCAACCCACTCGTTTCTAACCTTGCTTCCTCTTCAATTGCTGATAACCCTCCGAGGCGTCTGAAAAGATGGCCTCGGGACCTTCTAATATAGAAATATAATTGGAATGCTACCAATGGGTAATTTCTCTTCATGTTGTACATGTGATATTACTTGTTCATATTTACTTGTTGTATTTATTATTAATTGCAGTTGTAAATTTCGTTAATAAAAAAAAATAATAAAAAATGCCTTCAAAATCATTAAAATTTTATCATGAAAATTGCCCATAATCTGAGAATCACCCATATAATTGTATTATATATTTTTATTAAAGTTTAGAGATGTTTCGCCTATATAAATTTTATGCATTGTTAATTATTAATTTTATAAAAACATTTGTCTATTTCTATTCTTCACTATCCTAAATATTTGTTTGTATCTATTTATTCATATCATTATAACCATATACGAATTTACTCAGCGATAGTTACTCAGCAAGTGTTTTCATGTCATTATATCTATGATGTTCAAATTTACTAGATGTATTTATTCAATACAGTTGTAAATATCATTAAGTAATAAAAAAAAAAAATTATTCCAATAGTTATTGACAAGGAAATTTCGACATACCAGAGTGTTTTAAGAATTATTTTAGTGGGAATAAACCATTCATATAATAGATGGTAATCATTTAGATGTATTTCTCTTCCATAGTAACTCGATGGATAATAATGCAACAGTATTATGGATGAGAAATCGTTAGATAAATTACTGTAATATAGACTATTTCACAGTTCATACTAATGAAATGAATTTTATTTTTATCCGTTAAAATAGCCTGTATATATATAAACTCTTATAATCATTGGCACAATACCGATGCCTTATAATGAAAGTATTATTTAGAAATGTTTTATAGCAATCAAATAAAAATATCTTTCCTAACCAACAAAGAAAAAAAAACAACTCATTCATAAACGAATATAAAACAATAGCACTCACAAATGACTCGTTGAATTTGAAAGATTCAGAAAATACTTGAAACTCCATCGCACTCACTGTACTTCACCCTTCACTCCAAATGTTAAACTGTGTACCCTCAATGCTACATTAATGTTATATATAATGAAGGGCCGTGAACTAGGAAGAGAAAAAAAACATGTAAAAATTGTTTCTTAGTGGAATTAACGTCAAACCGATGAAGAAGTTGAGACATATGGCGCCCGACGAAAAACTCATGGGAGAAGTTTATATCCCACGTGAATTTCTTCAGCCGCGCAACATCGAAAGGGGAGAGTGGTATTAAAATCCATCAAGATGTCACATTAAATTTATATTGGGAACTATTGTCCTTAAATACATATTATTCATTATTTAAATACACATTTCATATTGTCAGCTTTGTCTTTTCTTTGTCAGCAGAAACACACCTTATTTTAAAGGAGAACTCAATGCATTTTTTATTTTTTTATTTTTTAAAAGAGTATAATTATAATTTTTCCTACTGTAAATAGTTTTAAGTGTTTTATCATAGTTTTAAGTGTTTTGTATATAGATTTTTTTTTTTGTATATAGCTTGTTTAACTAATATTTTATTTATTTTCTCTTTTTTTATTATTGTTTTATTTTGGCCAGATGTAGTCTTTTAATTATTTTCTATTTTGTTATTCTAAAGGGACTTTGTCCCAGAATAAAGTTATTTTCTATTTCTATTTAAATAGTCAGTAATCCTCCAGTAGTGTATTAAAAAAATTATACATATATATATATATATATATATATATATATATATATATATATATATATATATACATAAGAATACTTTTAATATTTTAAAAACATTGTTGATGACACTATAAGGAAATAACGTGTGCCACAATAAACCCATAGAATATCATGGGTTCAGTTCTTGATATGAAAGTAATGTTTCTTGTCTATGGTGATGGAAGGAGGTGATCAGATCGAGATCATGCTCAACCGCTAGATTAGAAAAAAAAAAAAT